CAATTCGACGAGGCGTCCAGCGAGCGTGCAAGTTCACGCACAAGTCTGCCCTTCTGGTCATGCACTTCGAGGAAGTCTTAGCCGAGTGCCCCATTTTGAGCAGGAGCCGCCCTCGATCCGTGCAGTGGTTCATGTGTATTACGATCCGGGTAGTTAAGATAAGTCTTCATTGAGAGTTCCAATTCGAAGAAGAAGACGAAGAAGCATTGCCCACCCTTCTACTTGCTCCAAGGTTAAAAACCGAGAATGCGCGACTCTAGGGCGATCACCCCCTGTTGGCCCGCCTCCATCCTTGAGGCTGCTGAGTGCAGACGGCTATCCGCGTCGCTAAATCGATAGCCCCATTTTGAAAACGACCCGCCCTCCATGCTTGAAGTACTTGTAGAATCTTCAAAGCCGCTGCTGGCAAGGCCCCCCCGACCAGTTCGAACAGGGACGCTGGAGGTTTAAACAGCCTCCCACTCCGATTTGGCGGGGTGGTGCGGGTTTGAAAGGCTCCCCCCCCCCTATCCGATTCAGACCAGGGGGGAGGCGGGGGAGAATCCATTGCAGCAGGGTCAAGCCCCAGTAGGACTCAATCAGACCTGGGCCTAGCATTCGTAGGATTCCACTGAAGCTGGATCGGGCCCTAGTAGGGTTGTATTCACTTGCCGAACTTGCAGTTGTCAACTCCACTGCTCGCGCAATCGTCCCACCCACCCACCCGCAACTTGGTTTGCAAAATCTCTTAAGACCGTGACGGTGGGTACCAAATGGCACTTGGCAGCGACAGCAACGCCGACGACGACAGCGACAACGACGACGACGACGACTCCGCCGACAACGACTACGACGACACCGACCACGTCTCCGACGACTTCGACGACGCCGACAACGACGACGACGACGACGACACCGGCGACGACGACGACGCCGACGCCGACGACGACGACGATGATGACAACGACGACGACGATGACGACGCCGATGACGACGACGACAACGACGACACCGACGACGACGACGACGACGACGACGTCAACGACGCCGACGACGACGACGACGACGACGACGACGACGGTGGCGACGACGACGACGCCGACGTCGACGACGACAAAGACGACGACGCCGACGCCGACGACGACGACGAAGACGACGACGACGTCGCCAACGAAGACGACGACCAGGGAGGAGGGAGGACGACGACGGCGACAACGACGACAACGACGACAACGACGAGGGAGGAGGGAGGACGGCGACGACGCGAACGACGAAGAAGGAGGAAGGACGGCGACGCCGACGACGACAACGACGAGGGAGGAGGGAAGACGACGACGACGACGACGACGACGACGACGACGACGACGACGAGACGACGACGGACGACGACGACGACGTAGGAGGGACGACGACGAGACGACGACGGACGACGACGACGACGAGGGAGGAGGAGGAAGGACGACCACGGCGACAACGACGACGGAAACGACCACGACGCCAAAGAGGACGACGACGACGAACACGAGGAAAGACAGAGGACGACGTAGGCGACGACGACGACGACGCGGGAGAAGGGAGGACGGCGACGACGACGACGACGACGCAAGGGCGCGCGCGCACGCTTTCGTTGAAAATCCGTGTTGCGAAACCTTGTGTTTTTTGTAGGTTTTTCGGACGCACGATTTTGACATGCTTCCGAAGCCGATGGGTTTTGAAGGATTTCGGCATACGCGCGCGACGACGCGCGCGTCTGCACTTCGTCCCGTTTTTTGCGGAGGATTCTCGCGACGGCACACGCGCAAGGGCGTTCGACAGATTTCGACATGCGCGCGCGAAGCCCGTTTGGTAGCATTTTGTGAACATCTGGAAAAACCGATGGTTTCCTTCTGATCTAGCAAGAGCTCGCGCGTAAGCTTTTTTACCAAATCAGTGTTGCGATACCCTGTGTTTTTGTATGTGTTTGGGAACTCGATTGCGCAATCCTTCCGGCACCGATGGTTTTTGAAGGATTTCGGATGGACATGTGGTCAGAAACATATATGATTTACAAACCCGAAAGGGGGGCGGATAACTCCGGGGGGGGGGCGATTCTCTTTGGTTTCTAGAAAGGAGAATTAAGATTGGGTCGAGCCCTGATACGCTTCTATCAGAGCTGCATCCTGACAATCGTAGGATCCTATCAGAGTTGAGTTGGATACCGGGACGATCTTATTGGAGCTGGATCCGCTCCATTGTGAGCCTTTGCAGGAATCCAGTGGGGCTGGATCTAGTCTTTATGAACATCCATTTAAGCTTTATAGCAGGAGCTCGTTGAAGCTGGACCCAGCCCTAGTGGCAGGATTCGATCAGAGCTGGTTCGAGCTTCCCCCCCTGTTCCCGGGGAGGGGGGGGGGTCACCCCTCTCTCCCACCTGTTCCCTGGGAAAGGCGGGGGTGTTGCCCCCCCCCCCACCCACCCACCGGCGGTTTCCCATGGCAGAGGGGGGGTAGGGGGGATTTTTTCCAGGCAAGCGACGGTAGATCGCGTTCCGTCGAATGTTTCGACCAATGTGCGCGGCGCTCAGGCGAGAGACCAATTTCGGAGACGTTCCGCCCTCCATCCTTCAAGTAGTCGCAACATGACACGACGACAGTGCGCGTGGCTGAGGCGAGAACCTCATTTGGAGAACGGCCCGTTCTTCATCCTTGAGCTTGCGGCGAACTCAAAAGGCGGACGTGCCTGGGTCCAAGGCGAGAGCAAAGCTTGGAAAAGGATCCGCCCTCCACCTTTGGAGCTGTTGCAGACGTGCGCGGCGCCGAGGCGAGATGCATGACCAATGTGCGCGGCGCCACGGCGAGGGCCAACTTTGGAAGAAGACAGCGCCCTCCACCCTTAAAGCTGTTGCGAGGTGTACGCTTCAGAATCACAAGCGGGAAGGAAGTCTCGGGCGAAACGCCTGGCTCGCCCCACCGACATGCCTGGGGTGCGACAGGCAGGAGCCATACAAATGGACAACTTCTGGAGGATGAAGAGGATGAGGAGGAAGAGGGGGAACATAGGAAAAGTAGTGGGAGGAGAAAGAAAAGCATGATGAGGACGAGGATAAGGATGCAGACGAGACTGAGGAGGAGGAGGAGGAGGGGATGACAAGGAGGGGGTGGATGAGGAGCAGGAAGTTGAGGAGGGGCGGAGGGGCGGAGCAGGGTGATGAACATGATGATGAGGACGAGGATGGCGATGATGATACTTATGATCATGATGATTTGGATGATGATGATTATGATGCTGATGAAGGTGATGGTGATGACGATGATGATGGTGACTCTGATTACGATGATGACGACGATGATAATGATGATGATGGTCATGACGGTGACAATGTTCATGGTGATGATGGTGTTGATGAGTATTGTGGCAATGGTGATTGTGATGATGCTTCACATGAAGACGAGCATAACAATTAAGATTACGATAATGGTGAAGACGAATACGATGACGATACTGACGATGATGACGATGAGGGTGATTATGCTGAAGATGATGAGGATGATGCTGATGGTACTGTTGAGGATTATGATGCTGAGTGTGATGATGATGATGATGATGCTGATGATAATGACAACAACGAGGATGATGCTGATGATGGTGGTGATGATTGCGCTGGTTATGATGCTGTTGAAGGTGATGGTGGTGGTCGTTGGTTTGACGATGCTGATGGCAACAACGGTGATGATGTTGATGCTGTAGATGCTGATGATGATTGCGTGCCTGATGATTATGAGAATGATGATGACGATGATGGTGCTTGTGATAAAGATGATGCTGATGATGAGGATGCTGATGTTGATGCTGATGATCCGGTGATGATGATGCTGATACGGGTGATGATGTGGCTGTTGCTGCTGCTGGTGATGAGGATGATGATCACGATGGTGATGTTGGTGATCGTGATGATGGATGTGAAGATGGCCACACAGACGACGGGGGGACAACGGCGAGTTTGAGCAGTATGTCGCAGGGACTGTTAGGGGCCATCTGGTGTCTCAGCAGGTCTTAGGTGGTTACTCGAGGATATGATGGTGACGGGTAAAGGGGTGGACGAGGCGGAGGAGGAGCTCTGGAGCCAGTTTGGCTCAAGCCCGTAGGGGGGGGGGGCCCAGATAACCATCTGTTTGGGGCAATTGGGATCGCTGGCCCCAACCGTTCGCACACCAGGTCGCTATGGTATTGCGGCTTCGGCTGCAACGCCGTCCTTGCCGATCAACCAGGCCAATCATGTTTTGCTCAGGCTGCTACCGCATCATCAGCATGCTGCTTTCCGAGTCCTTCCAGCGCGATTGGTTGCGTACGGGTTGAGTTTGCTTGTTTGTAAGCTGCTGTGGCATGTCGGTATCAGCGCAAGGTTTCCAGGGTGCCACGTGCATGAAGGGCAGTGTTCCTTTCGGAATCGTGATCCATCACCAGCCTGGAACATATCCCTATCCCTATGATTGGCATCGCCTCATCTCGATGCCGAGTTTAGGGATTCCCTCCGTTTCTGAGGGCGCATCCCTGAGAGTGTCGTCGAGTTTTGGCTCGTTAATCTCAGGGATAAGGATACGTTCGAGGCTGGTTAATCCATCGGGGCATGGGCCCAGGAGCCAGTCCCCCAGGCTCGTGCCGTACCAAAGCTCAGGCGGTCGTGGACGCAGCTGCCCAGCTGGCTGTGCAAATGAAAGCAAGCCTAAATAAGCGTCTCGGGTGTTGCTAGAAGTGCCCCTGGTCCAAGGTGCCCCCCAGCTTTTCGCTCCATGTTTGAGCCCCTGGGGCCCTCTGGGCCTCGTGAGGGGTGCCCTGGAGGCCGTCTGGGGCACCCCGAGAATCCTGGGGGTACCTCGGGCCAGGGGTACTTCTAGCAACACCCGAACGTCATACACCCCTGGGTGCAGAAGGAGCTGGGCCTGGTCAGCATGCTGGGCTTGAGGCTGCCTGCCTGTCTTGCGTTGGCCTGAACCTGCAGGCGCTGGGCAAGTCGCTTAAAGGTGCTGGTGCAGGGAGGGAGCTGGCTACCTCGCGGTCACGTGTGACGGCTAGCAACGCAGTTGCGAAAAAACGCAATCGCACCAAGCTGTCGGGGGAGGACGGCGGGAGGGTGCAGCAGTTTGTGCGTCTCTTCGGTTGCTATGATTCGTTGGGGGGATTGCATGTTGTCCAGCTGTCGTCCTTGCGGTCGTAGGCATGCTGGCTTGCACCAGGATGAGGTAGCGGATAGGCGGGGCATGCGCCAGGGCAACGCGAGTATTGGTCGCAGATCTGACCTACGCGCGAGTCCTTGCTTGAGGAAGCCATGCGGCCTTGCTACAAAACGAAGAAGCTGACGTGGCCTGGAGGGCGGTCTCCCTTGCGCTGATCGCGCACGTGACTCACGAGCTATTGGATTCGTTCGGAGGTTTTGGTTGTCAGCTTCTTGCGGTTCAGCCTCATTCCGCAGGGTCGCCGTTAGATCAGCGCCGTTCGGCTCCTCAGGGGCTCTTGGGGCGTGGATGCGGGAATCGCCCCGCTCAGCCACGCTCGGGGGCGCTGGCTGTTAGCTTCGCGCTGTTCAGCCTCAATCCGCTGTTCAGCCACGCTCAGGGCCGTTTGGGTGTCGGCTGTCAGTCGCGCGTTGTTGGGCTTTGGCTGCCAGCTTCGCGCTGCTCAGCATCGCTTCGATCGGTGTTGTAAGTCGGCTTGACGTGGGTGCGCCCTAGTGGGGCAGCTAAGGGCGTTGCAATCAGCTGCGCACTTTTCTGCCCCTCTCTGAAAGTGTGGGTTGTGATGTTCGCGTGGGTCAGCGCCCGCCCGACAGGGTGACCGCCAGCTGCGCGCTATTTCGCTTGGCCTGCGCGCGTTTGCAGTCACCAGTGCGATGTGTTGCGCCACAAGGAGCCCGCCGCGAAGAGACCTTTCGTAATGCAGCAGATTTCGGAACAAAAAAATGTCATCTCTGTCCAGGCGGCGCTTGCGCGTGGGCATTGTAACGGCTAGCAGCGCCACGTGTTGTTTGGCGAGATCTTCGGCGAGGCGACTTCGGGCTCAGTAGGGTTGGTTAAACCGCGCAAAGGACCAGGCCGTGTCTCGGACTGGGTCAGTTATGGCGAGCAGAGCATGAAGAAGCTGCAGAGTTATGCCGAGGGCGTCATCCGATGTCCGTTGTGCCGTTTGGTTCTCCGATTGGGACACCTGTGGCATGAGTTTCGTAGTCGGCGGGTGTTGGTTCGGCCAGGCTATCGGGGCTGCGCATCTGTATCGTTCCAGCTGTTATGCCTAGCGGCCTGCATTGCACCTTGGCGTTTACCCCTTCTAAATTTGGGCGTCTTGCCTGGTATGACACCTTGTCCGGAATGATACCATGATGCATGGCGGAGCCTTGCCTCCCGCGCGGGCAGTCCGAGATGGAGACCGTGGCATATGATTATTCCGCGTTGCCCATCTGGTCTATGTGGGCTAAGACTTTACTCGACCGCGACGCTTCACGTGTTTCACTGGTGCGTCTGTCGCAGCCGCGCCTTGGCGCCTTGCGCTTCCCCTCGCCACGCCCGCGACGGTCTGCTCTGAGCGGATCCCGCCTCTCCGCCTCGCCCGCGTCCCCCTCTGGTGTGCCTCAAGGTCCTCCTCCTCCTCCTCCTCCTGTTCCCGGCGCGTCACGCCCGCAGCCCGGCCCGTCCCTGCACCTGCGTCGGCTCGCTTGCGCCCGCTGATGCACATTTCGCTGATGTGCTCTCGGCGTGACGTGTCTGCCTCGTGGGCGCGCCGGCGTCGCCGGCGTGGGCTCGTGCTGGCTCGGAGGCGTCCCCGTGGACCCGCGCGGGCTTCGTCTGTGCAGCACGGCCGCGGCCCACGGGAGGAAGAGAAGGAGGAGGAGGAGGAGGAGGAGGAGGAGGAGGAGGAGGAGGAGGAGAAGGAGGAGGGAGGAGGAGGAGGAGGAGAACGCAGAACAGAGGCCGTCGAGGCCCCTCTTGCGCATCGGGTCGCGCGTGCGGCGTGTGGGAAGGGCTTCCTCGGCAGGGCCACCAATCAGAGGGATCAGACCTCACGCGCCGCATCGTCCCTAAGAGCAGACCAGCGGACTTCAAGCTTGTCTTTCGCATCGTCACTCGCGGTGAGAACCCTTCGCTGGTGAAGGAGTCGGGGGGCTGCAACCCGAATCCGTCCACCTCCCCATGCTTCCCCCTCCCTTTCCTTCTGTCCCTTCTGATAATGTCTCCTGCTTATCCATTGGGAAGGAGCAAATGACATAAACATGACTGGGAGGTCCGCGCAGATTTCTCGGATCGGCGCTGGAGCTCCCTCCTGGCACCTCCGACGCCGCCCCTTGCGCGATCCGCGCGTCAGGGGGGTGACCCAGCGCCGATCTAAGAAGTCCGCGCGGGCCTCCGAGTTTTTACCTCCCTGATCCTAATGGGGTTTCTTGTTTTCTCTGGACACCCCAGCGCAGGGACAGGAACAGAAACAGAAACCCCCACATCATCATGATCAGCATCTGCATCATCACCACCATCATCATCATAATCGTTGACATCGTCATCATCATCATCCTCATCAGCAGCATCATTATCATCATCACCCGCATCCACATAATCGTACTCATCATTATCGTCTTCATCGGCATCATCGTCATATCGTCATCATCATATCAGTAGCAACATCATCACGAACCTCCTCATAATCATCATCAGCAGCATCAACATCAACGTCATCATTATCCACTATCATCATCAGCAGCATCAACATCAGCGTCATCATTATCATCATAATCATCCTCGTCATCATCAACGCTGATATCGTCATCAGCACCACCATCAGGATAACTAAGCATCATCTGCGTCGTCATCTGCATCATTATCACTATCATCAGCATAATCAGCATCATCCGCACAATCAGCAGATGCATCTTCAGATTCATGTTCGTGTTTATCCTCGTATTCATCTCCATCATCATCATCATCATCATCATCATCATCATCATCATCATCATCATCATCATCATCATCATCACCATCACCATCACCATCACCATCACCATCACCATCACCATCACCATCTCCATCATCGCTATCATACTAATATGGAGGCGCGCCATTTGTTCCCGCTGTATTGTCCACATCGTGGGGCGGCCATCATGGCCAGCACGGGTGAAATTGATTATGCTTGCGTTTGAAGTTTCGAACCTCCTCGATTGGGTTTTCTTTCTGCCGCGTCGGGGCGGCCCAGGGCAAGCGCGACCACGGGCCCAGCTAGGGCGCCCAGGGGGCAATGCGTCCCGGGCAACCCCCATTGGGGTACCCCAGAGAGGCGCCCGGGGAAACCAGGATACCCCGGGAAGGCGCCCGGCCAAGGCAAACCCCAGAGTGCCCCAGCCGGGCTTCCGGGTACCCCGGAGTGCCCCGGCCGGGCCGCCGGGGTAAACCCTGAGGCAGCTGGGGTAAGCCCAGCCGGGGTATAACCCGGCTGGGCCGCCGGGGTACTCCGGAGTACCGCAGCGGGGCCGCCGGGGCAACCCCGGGGCACCCCTGGACCCCTGGAGGGGCACCCTGGTGGGTCTTCGGGAAGGCGCTTGGGGTAAGGGTACTGACCGGGCTTCAGGATGCCCCAGAAAGCTGCCGGGGCGTATTGATCTGAAGTGAGGATTGAGTTGGCGACCATCAGATTTGGAGCCCAGATTGATCCAGAACCCTATCACCCTTCAAGCCACCCGCTGGCAAAGCATGCATGCCGACCCCCCGTGCAGAGAGCATCTACTACTACTAATGATAGGGGGCTCCACCGAAAGCCCCAGTGGCAACATTCGCATGCGTATCCTCCAGGTGCCCCAGCGGGGCCGCCGGGGCGGCCGGCGTGCCGCCGGGGTAACCGCGGCCGCCGCAGGGTTAAGCCCCAGTGGGGCTGCCGGGGTTATCCAGAATCCAGAGTACCCTGGCGGGGCCGCGCGGGGTAATCCAGAGTACCCTGGCAGGGCCGCGCGGGGTAATCCAGAGTACCCCGGCGGGGCCGCCGGGGTAACCCTGGAGTGCCCCGGCGGGGCCACCTGGGTAACCCCGGAGTGCGGGCCCGCCAGGGTAAACCCGGAGTGCCGGGCAAGGCGGCCGGGGGGATCCCGGGGTACACCGGCCAGCCCCGGGGTATACCCTGGCCAGGTGGCCTGGGTGACCCCAGGGTACCTAGGCCGGGCCGCTGGGGCAATTTCGGGGTGTCCCAGCCAGGCCGCCTGCCGCCTGCCTGCCGCTGGCCAGTAATGCACTCTGGCACCTTTGTTGCACCCCCCCCCAGCACGGGTGAATGATGTCCCGTTTTGGGTGACAGTTCAAATGGTACGCCTCCATATGAAAATTCGTCATCATTATTATTATCATCATAATGCTGACCCTACAGCTCATCATCATCATCAGCAGCAGCAGCATACCATTCGCATCAGCATCAACATCATCATCAGCATCATCTTCACCGTCAACACCAGCATCGCACACACCCGCACACACATACATTCACACACTCACGCTTTCATATCGACGAGGTCTCGAGCAGGAGTTTCGTCTGTGAGTGAACTGCGGGGAATTCTCAGTACAAGCGGGTTCTCCAAATTATGTAATTGTCGTTTTTGTTGGGTTCCTGAAGTTTAATCTGGAGGAGGTCTCGGGCGGGAGCCTCGTCTGTGAGTGAATTGCAAGGGGATCTCAGGCGGAAGCCCCCTCCCCATCGGGGCCGCACCTCATGTTTTCAATCCATGCTGGTAATCCCAATCCTGTAATTGTCGTCATTGGTGGGCTCCTACAGGTTCAACCTGATGAGTGTCTCGAGCGTGAGCGTCTTCTGTGAGTGGATTGCGATGAGATCTCAGGCAAAAGCCCCTCCCTCCCCAATGGGGCCCGCAACTCATGTTTTTACTTCCAGCAGGTTGTCTTGAGGCTTGAAACTGAAGGGAGTCTAGAGCAGGAGCCTCGTCTGCTAGCGAATTGCGAGGGAGTCTCAGGCGAGAGCCCCCTGCTTATGGGCCCGCAGTTCATGGTCTCAATCCCTAAGCTAGCCTTCGCGCTGCCTCCCGCCTGAGTGCGGCGGCGCGCAGCTCGAGGCCTGCGGGTTTGTCCCGACGGCTTGATCTAGCGCCCCAGCGGCCCGTGGGAATCGTGTCAGCGACCTGGCTCGCAGGGTTGTCCCAACGGCCGACGTGGCGACGGCGCCCATGAAAATCGGCATGCGCGCCTTTGCAAAGGGGGCGAGGGCGGAGGTGCACGAGGAGAAGAGGCTGAAGGAGGAGGAGGAGGAGGAGAAATAGCAGGAGGAAAGGGAAAGGGGAAATGATGATGATGACGATGATGATGACGATGCTGATGCTGAGGATGCTGCTGGTGATGAGGGTGATGATGATGATGCTGATGTTCATGCTGATGATGATGCTGATGATGATGCTGATGCTGATGCTGATGATGCTGATGATGTTGTGGTTGATGATGATGATGATGTTTCGTGGTGATGATGACGATGATGATGGTGAGGAAGATGATGAAGGCCGAGAAGTGGACGGGAGGAATGCCTCCGCCAGAGCGAGGAGGAAAGGGCGAGGGGGTGGCAGGAGGAGTGCCTCCACTATGACGAGGACGACGGTCAGGGCTACGTACTTTAGAAAGGGTCCTGCCGCCGGAGTAATGTTTATGCCATTGGTCGTGTCCCTAACCAAGCTTATGCTTCCGATTGTTCCCGAGGCGTGCCCTGCATACTGTGTTCGGAAGGGTGAAGAGCATAGTCGTGTTCGGATGTTCGCAAACGGTTCGTGAAATGTTCGGAACCGTTTGTTTGCAACCCCCCAGGCCCGCGAGGGCTATGTCCAAGGCATCTCGGTTGAGGAGAAGAAAAGATGTTCAAAACGAACGGCTCGCAAATGGATCGGGAAACCATGTTCACACACTGTGTTCGGGTCAGCCTTCGATTGGTTCCTCCTGCTGCTTCTGCTGCCGCTGCGTCCGCCACGCGTTCCCATGCTGCCGCCCTCGCTCCTGCTGCCCTTGGCCCTCGTGGTTTGGTATGGTTTGGTCAAGCGCATCGTGGCCTTCCAGGCATCGCCAGGCCTCCTGCCATTCCTCCTGCTGTGCCTCCTTTCCTCCTGCTGCTGCTGCTGCTGCTCCTCATCCTCCTTCGGCCCCGTCCGGCTCGACAGGGTTACGCTTACCTTCAGGGGCACCAGCAACTACACTACGATCCTGCTTCTCCTTCCATCCAGCTGCTTGTTGCTCTTGCTTGCCTGCTCGGCCGAGCCCATCCTTGGCCTCCTTTTCCGGTTCCTCCTTGTCGTGCTTCCTGCTGCCTCTCTTGCGCCACCCTTCTTGTTCTGAGCCGCCAGAGTTCTTGTTCTTGATGTGAAGAATGAAGCGCCAGGAATTGAGAATGAGTGATTTGTTGATTGTTGATACCATTGTTAGGACTCATTGTTGATTAAGAAACTCGGAGTATTGTCTCCGCAATTGACGCTGCTCCGAGTTTCGTAATCAGCGCCGGGGGGGCGCCGCCCCCGCCGACAGCCCCGCGTCGACCCCCGTCGCGGGTAGCCGCCGTGCGCCGAAGGCGCTCCGACCCCCGTCGCGGCGCGACGACGAGGCGAGGTTGACCCCCGTCGGGGAGGGTCCCCCCCCGACGCCGATTCAAGAAGCCCAGGGTAATGTTGACAGCCCTCCCCCTGCTTCGGCTCCATGTCGTCCCGCTCCCTCTGCTCCTGCTGGTTTGGGCGGACCCCTGGCTCCTCCAGGACAACGTGCTGCACCTTCTGTCCATTCTGGAGGGCTGCTTGTCCCAGGACTGCTGGGCCTGCTGCTCGACATACTGAAGACAACATCGCTCGTAGTACTCACTATCATTATCATCATCACCACCATCATCACCATCATCATCATCATCACCACCATCACCATCATCATCATCGTCATCAGTATTCGACCATCATCAACACCATACTAATCATCAACAGCATCATCATCACCATCATCACCATCATCACCATCATCATCATCAGCAACACCAATATTAACATCAGCATTAACATCAGCATCACCATTAGCAACATCATCAGCATCAGTAGCAGCATCAGCACCATCTGCAACAACATCATAATCATCACCAACACCATCATCATCTCCATCATCAACACCGTGGTCATCATCACCATCACCGCCACCATCATCATCACCACCACCGCCGTCATCATCATCATCATCATCATCATCATCACCACCACCATCACCACCACCATCTCATCATTCTCACCATCACAAGCACGAATCTCATCATCGCCATCATTGCTTCGAGCCCGGATGGCGTGGCTGGCCCTCAAACTACGGCGTGGCTGGGGCCGATCTACCAGTGCAGCCTCATGGCCGTGGACTCCTGCTGCACCGACGACCTCCTGCCGCGAGCGTGGCGGCGTCAGGCGCCGCACGTTCGTCCTCATCAGCCAGATGTGTGGCAGCGACTGTCTGGGCCCAAAACGGTGCAACAAAACCCCAAGACGGTCCGAGATGCCCCACGGACGGCGTCAAATGAGGTCCAGGAGCCCCAAGGCGTCTCATGGGCGAACAGAACGCCTGTTTGGCGTGTCCCCCGCGGGGCGGTGTGATGCATGTGTTTCTCACCTGATGATTGGTACTCGTGTCGCAGGTGCGGTCTGGGAGGCTACGTACGCTCAAAAAGCCGGCGCCCTACCCTGCTCTTCCTCGCAGTCTGGACGTGTACTCTTTCGGCTGAGGATGCATCCGCCGACCTCTTTTGAGTGGACTGTCGAGTGCTCATTCCCGTCTTTGGCCGAAGGCTTCCCAAGGATGCATCTGGATTCCCGCGGTGGTGGTGGCAAGACCCGTGCGCGGCACAGGGACAAGAGGGAGGCGGAGGAGGAGGAAGAGGAGGAGGATGTTCAGGAGGAGGAGGAGGAGGTGGAAGAGGAGGAGGGGGTCAGGAGGAAAAGCGGGAGGAAGAGGAGGAGGAGGAGGAGGAGGAGGAGGAGGAGAGGAGGGAAGAGGAGGAGGAGGAGGAGGAGGAGGAGGAAAAGCAGGAGGAAGAGGAGGAGGAGGAGGAGGAGGAGGAGGGGGAGGAGGAGGAGCGAGGAGTAGCGAGGAGGAGCTAGGAGGAGCGAGGCGGAGCGGCTGAGCGAGCAGGAGCGTGGAGTAGCGAGGAGGAGCGTGGAGGAGCGAGGAAGTGCGAGGAGGAGCGAGCAGGAGCGAGGAGGAGGAGGAAGAGGAGGATGTTGTAGAGGAGGGGAGGAGGAGTTCTCCACCTCGTTGCCGCGCCCCTTATCGGGGCGCAGCCGCGTTGGGCACCAGGGCCCGCCACATGCCCTCCGATGCGTTCGCGCTGGATGCTAAAGGTCCAGGCGACCCTGTGGGGTTGATCGTCCAAGCCGGAAGGATTTCTCGGCATCGTGATGTTATTGCTGGTTCCTTGGTTCCATACTCTCTGAGTATTCCTTTCGTGATGTGCTTGCTGTCTTGGGTCGGCGCTGGTTGCCCCTCCCTGGCGCGCGGTGCGCGCCAAGAGGGCCCAGCGCAGATTCAAGAGAGCCGCGAAGAGCTCCGACGCTTATGTTCCTGCAGCTGTCTCCGCTTCACCTCTGTTCCTGCAGATGTCTCCGCTTATGTTCCTGGGGCGGCCGTGTCCTCCCATTCCTCTTGCCTCCCCCTCCCCGCCTGCCGCGATCAGCTTCGCCCGTGTCCGAGCGCAGCCTGCCCGCAGCTCGGCGCCGCCCGCGACGCCGGCCAACAAGCTCCTGCTTGGGGCATCTTCGTCCCTCGTGGGCCGCCACAGGGGCCCTCTCGGGGGCCCGTGGCCCGCGCTCCTGGGCCGCTGCATCCATCGACCCTTTGCCGGCGCTCTTCGCGTCTGCTGCTGCTGCCTCCTCCTCCTCCTCCTCCTCCTCCTCCTCCTCCTCGTCCTCCTCCAGCCTGGCGTCCCCCCTCGGCCCTCTCGGGCTGCAAGGGCGCCGCCCTGGTGCTCTCTCTGGGCCGCCGGTCTGCCCCTGCACTGCCGCGCGCCGGGGGCGGCGCGGCGGGCTGGTCTCGGCGCCCGCGGCGGAGCGTTGCGCCCCAAAGTCGCGAGTAGAAAAAGCTGATTTCCCCCTCTGTACCCTTCCAGCCTGCCCGCCCGCCGCTTCGTCCCCCCCCGCCCTGGCCTCCCGCCTGCGCGTCGGCCATCGTCTGCTTGCCTGTCCTCTCCTCTCTGCCTCCCCGTCGCCACGCGTCGCAAGCCTCCCGGGGCCGGCAGCGCGGGGCCGCGGCAGGCGTGCACGGCTTCTGTCGTGATCTGTGTTTTAGGCAGTCTGTTGGCGCGCGCATGGCTGGTCCAGGCCCTAGAGGCCTCAAGGGATCTGGCTTACACTCCTGGTCCTAAGCAACGCCAAGGATCTTAGTGTAGCAGGACGGGATGTGACAATGCTTGGGCCGTCGTGCAACGCCAAGACCGTCCTGCGCTGCTTGCTGTGCCGACACGTTTGGTGGTGCGGCGAGGAGCGAATTTTCAGAAGAAAGAGGGATGCAGGAGGAGGTGGAAGAGGAAGCTCCCGTCGACAAGTTAGGACGGCAGGAAGGTGATTTGCGAGCGCAAGTGCCCACGTGGGAGGCACTTCAGGAACCATCATAATGCCCGCGCCTGGTCCAGCCTAATTTGTCCAGTGGTGGTGTCCCTGCTGTTTTCTGCCTTGCCCACAGGGCGGAAATCGCAGAAGACAGCAACTCAACTTGGCCACGAACACATCGGCCAGGCTGAACTCGGCCAGCCGAACTCGGCCAGGCGAGTCTTCCCCTTGTCGGAAGAAAAATGGGTGGGGCCATCACCGGCGCGCCCCTGGCACCTCCCTCACTTCCCCCGTCTTTTCGCGTGGGAAATGACGAAAGAACAACACACACACCCATACCCATAGGGGCGGTCGTTGGGAGGAGGACTCGCTATGGGTATGGGTGCGGGTTGTCGGACCCTGGGGAACGCTCCCGTTCGAGCGGGGACCCCCATCCGACAACACGTACCCCATAGCCCTCTCCGACCCCCCTATGGGTATGGTTGTGTGTTGTTGGTTCGTCCAGAAAGTGGGTACAAAGGTGGCTCGCCTGAGCGCCCCCAGCCCCCCCTCCTGGAGCCCCCCCTGCGCACAGAGGGGCACTCCAGCGAACCCGGGGTCGCCGGTGCCGGTGCGCCCTTGGCGCCCCGCACGGCCTGCCCTTTGCGCACGGGGGAGCTGATGATGCGAATCATGAGGATGATAGTGATGATGATGCTGACGATGATGTTGATGATGATTGTAGTGGTGGGATGATGAGGATGATGATGATGATGATGATGATGATGATGATGATGATGATGATGATGATGATGATGATGATGATGCTGATGCTGATGATGATGATGGTGATGATGATGATGATGATGAAGATTATGACGATGATGACGATGATGATGATGATGATGATGATGATCATGATGATGATGCTGATGATGATGATGATGATGATGATGGTAATGCTAATGCTAATGCTAGTGATGATGATGCCAATGATGATGGTAATAATGATGATGCTAGTGATAGCAACGATGCTGATGCTGATGTTGATGATGATGGTGGTGGTGATGATGCTGATTCTGCTGATGATGCTGATGATATGGCGGTGGTGGTGATGAGGATGAGTATGACGATTATGGTAATGTTGAGGATGACGATGATGATGAGGATGATGCTGATGATGTTTAAGATGAAGATGAATATGAAGATGATGATGATGATGATGATGATGATGATGATGATGATGATGATGATGATGATGATGTTGATGTTGATGATGATGATGATGATGATGATGATGATGATGAAAATGTGTTCAATGATGATGATGTTGTTGCTGATGCTGATGCTGATGTTGGTGCTGATGATGATGATGAGGATGAGGATGAGGATGATGGGGATGATGAGGATGAGGATGACGATGATGATAATCATAATGCTGATGCCGTTTATTGTAATGAAGGGTTTGCTGATGCTGATGAGGATGAGGATGAGGATCATGGTGGTGATACTGGTGATGATGACGATGCTTATGATGATGTGGTTGGTGATGCTGCTGAGAATGAGATTGAGGATGATGATGATGATGATGATGATGATGATGATGATGATGATGATGATGATGATGATGATGATGATGATGAGGAGGAGGATGAGGATGAGGATGGAGATGCTGCCGATTCTGATGATGATGAGGAGGAGGAGGAGGACGAGGAGGAGGATGATGGTGATGGTGATGCTGATGGCGATGGTGATGCTGATGGTGATGGCGATGGTGATGCTGCGGATGATGGTGGTGTTGATGATAATGCTGCTGTCGCTGCTGTTGCTGCAGCTGATGATGCTGATGATGATTATGATGGTGGTGGTGATGATGCTGCTGCTGATGATGGTGATGATGCTGATAATGATGATATTGGTGAAGCGCCATGCGCGGACTCCCCGTTCCGAACGGGTGGTCCGTGTGCGAACTTGGGTTCGCAAGTGTGGCTCGGCGCCCTACCTCGACTTCCCCTTCCTGTGCGAAGGCCTCCCAAGTTGGGACCGAGCAGATGGGGTTGAAAGGCCGTGGCGCATCGCCGATACATCGGCGATGCGGCTCGATGTGGAGCCCGTGTTTGTACACGCCGACATCGCCGATGCGTCGCCGACGTCGCCGATGCATCGCCCATGCATTTGCGATGCGGCGCGATCCTCCGACCCCATCTACTCGGACCGCACTTGGGAGGCTCTATGTGCACAGGTGGAGGGTGGGGCAGGGGCTGGGTCACAGGCGCGCCCCTGTCGTCCCCCACAGCTTCCCCAGTGTGCACTGGGGGAAGCAGCTTCGATTCCCGCCACACCCACGGAATTACAATTCGGCCCCGGGCGCGGGGGGAAGGAATATCACACGCCTCGTGGTGACCCCAAGGGGTCGGCGGATCACCGCCACCACTGTTATCATCGTCGTTTCCGTCATCATCGTCGTCGTCGCCAGGACCGCTGGGCCTTGGAAGTGGTGACCGACAGTCCACTGGATTTGGCCAAGCTTGGGACCTGTGCCACAGAGATCCTGGTCCCCAGCGCATACACGCCTCCCCACGGCTGCCGTTACAAGGCGCGCGCGCTGCAGTACGCTGTCCTGGCTTCGACTGCGGGGCGGATGGATTTCGGGGAACCAGTAATGACATACACATAAACTGTCGAAGGTCCGTGCGGATTTGTCGGATCGGCACTGGAGCCTCCTTGGCGGCATTTCCGGCGCCGCCCCTCCGCGCGCCAAGGAGGGGGGGGGGCCAGCGCCGATCCGAGAAACCAGCGCGGACCTCAGAAACTTTGTACTTGTGTCATTCGGTGCTCCTCGAGGACTGGATTGTGCACCTCGACGAAGAAACAACCTTTGATGCAGATACCGTGTCGCACATCCTGGTCCACTGCCGTGCGCAGAACGCAGCCGTGCAGCGCGGTGCCCAGATCTACGGGCACACAGGCCAGGGCGTCATCGTGTACAACGTCAAGGATCGGGTCCAGAAATAAATGACCCAGGCTCCATGCCCCTCCCCTCTCATTGTTATGGTGTCCCGCCCTGAGGATGTGTGGGGAGGAGGGTGGAGGAGGGCTGCAGGGCTCGCAATGAGGAGGGCGAGGGTGACGAGGGGTTCGATGGCGGTGCGGGGCTCGATTTGGCGCTAGTTCCCCCTTGTGTGTGGGTTGAGGGGTATTCCCCTCCTCATCCTCCTCCTCCTGCTCCTCCACCTCCTCCTCTTCGTCCTCCTCATCCTCTTCGTCCTCCTCCTCCTCCTCCTCCTCCTCTTCTTGTCCTCCTCCTCCTCCTCTTCGTCGTCCTCCTCTCCTTCTTTCTTGAGCCTCATCATCACCTTCTACCCATCCTCGCCTGCTGAACGTTGTCCTTCTATTCTTCAGCCTTACCCTGAACTATCATCCTCTTCATTGCGCGATCCTTCTCATCCTCTTGTCTCTGCTGTCTCATTCCCTTTTATCATCATACTTGCTCTCACCTCAGCATCCTCAAACTTGTTCCCCAACCATCATGTGGTGTTGGGTCCTCGTTTTGAAGAAGCAACGCCCCGCGTTCTCCTCCTCCTCCTCCTCTCCTCCTCCTCCTTCTCCTCCTCCTCCTCCTCCTCCTCCTCTTGCGCCTCCTCCTCCTCCTCTTCCTCCTCCTCCTCCTCCTCCTCCTCCCCCCTTCCTTCTCCTCCCCTTCCTTCTCCTCCTCCTCCTCCTCTTCCTCCTTCTCCTCCTCTCCTCCTCCTCCTCCGCCTCCTCCTTCTTCTCCTCTCCTCCTCACCCCCCCTCCTCCACCCATCCCTGTCCCTGCCTTTTTCCGCACAGTCAGATTTCGGCACGCTCCTCACAGGGCACGCCCCACCGAAGGCCCCAGTGGCCAAAGTTCGCGTGGCGGCGCCGTCCCATTCGGCGCAACCCTCGAACGGTTAGTGGCCCTACAGGGCGTTCCACCGAAGGCCCCAATGGCAAAGCTCGTATGGCGGAGCCGCCACATTGTGGCGCACCCTTCACACGGTTCGTGGCAACATCGAGAGTTCCACCGACGCCCCTAGTGGACAAGTCTTCATGGCGCCGCCGCCCCATTCTGACGCACCTTTCACACGGTTCGAGGCCCCATGGGGAGTTCCACCGAAGGCCACAGTGGCAAAGATCGCATGGCGCCGCCGCCCCATGTTGGCGCACCTTTCACTCGGTTCGTGGCCCCGCAGGGAGTTCCACCGAAGGCCCCAGTGGCAGGGATCGCATGGCGGCGCCGTCCCATGTTGGCGCACCTCTCACACGGTTCGTGGCTTCATAGGGCGCTCCACCGACGTCCCCAGTTGCGAAGATTGCATGGCGCCGCCGCGGTTCGTGCCATCGTGGCGGGTTTTTCCGAAGGCCTCAGTGGCAATTTTCGCATGCATTCGGCGCCCTTTGTTGGCGCATCTTTGACACTACTCGTGGCTCCATGGGGAGCTCCACCGACGTCTCAGTAGCAAAGCTCGCATGGCGGCGCCGTGCCAATTTGGTGCATCTTTCGCACGGCTCGTGACCTCATGGGGAGTCCCACCGAAGGTTCCAGAAGCAAAGTTCAATGGCGTCGCCGCTTCATGTCGGTGCACCCATCACACGGCTCGTGGCCCCATGGGGAGCTCCACCGAAGGCACAAGTGACAGGGTTCGCATGGCGCCGCCGCCCCATGTTTGGCGAACCCTTCACTCGTGGCCCTATGGAGAGTCCCGCCGAAGGCCCAAGTAGCAGAGTTTGCAGTGCGGCGCCGCCCCATGCTGGCGCACCCTTCGCACGGCTCGTGGCCACAGAAGGAGCTCCACCGAAGGCCACATTGGCACGGCCGCCCCACTTCTGTGCACCCCTCACACGGTCCTTGGAGCTCCGCCGAAGGCCCCAGTGACAGGGCTCGCATGGCGGTGCCGTCCCATTTTGGTTCACCCCTCACACGGCCCGTGGCCCCGCAGGGAGCTCCACCTAAGGCCCCAGTGGCAGTGATCGCATGGCGATGCCGCCCCAGTTTGGCTCACCCTTCACGCGGTTCGTGGCCTCATGGGGAGCTCCGCTGAAGTCCCCAACACACACAAAGTTCGCATGGTTGCGCCGCCTCATTGTGGCGCACCCCTCGAACGGTCCGTGGCCCCACAGGGGGCTTCACCGAAGGCCCCAATGGCAAGTTCGCACGCCGCCGCCGCCCCAGTTTCGCGCACCACTCACATGTTCGTGGCCCTACTGGGAGCTCCACCCACAGCGGTGCCACAACACGGTAACCTCAATTTCATTTGGTTGGGCCTTTCGCCTGGATAGTTTTTAGCTTGAACTTGTACATTCGCCGTCAGCATCGCATATTCCTTCTCGTTTGCTCTTGTGTGTCATCCTACTACTCGCCCTCACCATCGCCTGATCCTTATCCATTGTCCAGCATTTATCGCAGATTCGGCCTCATGTTTGCCTACCTCTCCCGCTGTGCTCATCTCGGTCTGCTCCTCGGTGTCTTGTCTTTGGTTTTGGTTGTCACTGCAGCTCAGCGGCTGTGCTTGAGTAGCAGAGGTCAGGCATCATGGGAGAGGGCAGAGAGCGCACCGATTGATTACGCGAGGACTGTTTTCACCCCAAATAGGGCAAGCCGCTCATCAACTGATCAACTGGGGATCCAACCGACGATGCTTTCGTTACAAGTTGCATAAAGAGTTCGTTTCCCGCGGGAACGTCGAATCTGAAGTGCCATCGGCACGGAAGCGACGGGAGCGTGACAGTGGAGGAGCTTCGGTTGAGGAGCGTCCTGCGGGGCCGCCTCTAGCTACCAGAAGCCTATCGATCGCTTGCAGACGGAGAATGCTCAGCTCCGCAAGAAGATGGGCATCAACAAGGACGAGGCTGCTGTCAGTGTGGAGGTGGGCCCTGCTACTGCTGCTCCCGACGCTGGTGCGGCGACGTGGGCTGACGATCGGCATGCCAGGAGGTTTGCTGGGATCAAGGATCCCGAGGCGGACTTGGAAGTCAGGTCCTGGAGCTAAGCTGGAGAAGTTGCGCGCTGAGGCTCACGAGGCTGAGCTAGTGCATGCCCAGGCTCATGCGTTGGCTGATCCAGTGCGTGCGCAGAAAGCGAAGACGCACAATATGCAGGCGAAACTCGACGAGGCCAAGATCTTTGCCGGGAAAGCGAAGGATGCCAGAGACGAAGGCGCAGGCTGCTTTGGACGAGGCCAACACAGTGTTGGTGGACCGGGAGCAGCAGCTGGAGACGCTTCAGGAGGCTTTACCTACACCAAGCTATTGGATTACAGGTGCCGGGTATCTCTACGGACAAGTTGGGCGAGCTGGTCTCCAAGGCGGCGGAAGGACAGGATTGCTCTCAGTCGGCGCTGGACCGCACCACGGTTACTTTGGGGAACGCGCTACCTGAGTTGGTGGTTACCCAGGCGGCCGCTTCCAATCACAATGGTCATGGTGGCGGCGATCCTTCAGGTGATGCAGCTGACTCTGCTGGTGCGGTGGCTCATGCTGCGGCTGGCTCTGTGGTCGAAAATGTTCGGTGTCCTGATGATGAGGAGTTGGAGGATATCACGACAGTGCTGGAACCTTTAGGTGCGGCAAGCGCTTCAGATGAGGAGTTGTGTTCAAGGGTTCGGAAGCTGGCTGCAGGAGGGTGATATCCACGACGGCAAGCTGCTGGGCGTGCAGGGCCGCATTCGGTCGTTCAGTTGGTTTCGTCGGTTTCCCTGTCTGATAATATTGAGACGGATGGCGGAGCTCAAGGGTACGATTACGAGTGCCAGTAACACTTCCTGGGAATATGTGGAGCCGTTGCTGGAGACTTTGATCATCAGTTTGCTGTAAGTGCTATTGAGAAACAAAATTCGCCATCGTGCTTCTGAGTCTTTGGGCGGCCTGCAGCACAATATTCGGGGTTTGGGTTATGATGGGGTCTGGCCATGGGCAACATCCTCAGCAGTGCGCGCAGGCGCGTCTGGCGTGGTGGCTATTCTTGCGAGGAACTTTATTCCTGTGACGAGTCCGCCGTTTTTGCGCTTTCCAGTTCTTGTTCCTGGTGGTCGGCTCTCTGCAGCGCGCGCGCAGCGGCGTGGCATCGAGAGTGGTTGTTTTGATCACTTGCTGTCAGCACTCCGTGGGACTGGGGGGCGCAACAAGGAGGCGTGGTGGGCCCCGCCTCAGCGCAGTGCTATGTTAGAGGCTGCGCAGTTGGATGGGGGTATGGTTGAAGACGTCAACGTGCTTGTTCACGTGTTGGATGTTTCCTGGTTGCACCAGGCCAGCAGTTTGGTTTTGGCTACTGATGAGGTCACTTTCAGGCCCAGCAGGGTTGAGCAGCATTCGGTGATATATATATATATATATATAGTTTCTGGATATCAGCCGATCTGGCGCCCAGGGCCCAGCGGCCGCGATTGCGCGAGGATGGCACGACGTTGTCCGTTATCTGCCGGCGCGCCTCCCTTGTGGAACAGATGCTGAGTTGCAAATGAGGTGTGCGACCAAGCCATGCAGCATTCCCGCCGCGCCTAGGCCAGACTGCGCGCGCGCGGAGGCAGTTCCTGCGCGGCGCACTGAACAGGCCCAGGTTGCGGCAGATATTCGGGTGGCTTGGGGGGGCGGCGGCGATGGCCATCGAGACGGAGCTGCGCGACCGCCTTGACATCGCTGGATTAGTTAAGGCACGCAATGTCTCAAGGTCAGGGGTGCTTCAGTTTACTTCGACTAAGCTAGGCTGGGATCGGAAGCGCTGGTGCACATGGCCGCTGCCAGATAGGCCGCGCACTTGATGTTTTTTTTGCATGTCTACGGATTGGCAGATTTGAGCTTCGCATGCTTATCTCCGCGGTCGAATTGCTGCCCTTTCGTTTTCCCAAGATGGCGTTGCTTCTCCGCGCGAACATGATCGCTATATCGAGAGGGTTTGGCGGCGTGGGGCCGCTGGCAAGCTGAGGCCATGGATTCGAAAGATTTCCGGCTGTGGCTGGAGGGCTTTGCTGCCTAACTTT